CATATATGTGCCTGGTCCTACGTTGTCGCTGAGTCTGACTAACATAATGTATGGAATATTAGCCCCAACAATTACTTAAGGCCTCACTACGGCTCGTGAGATTGAACCCGAGAAGACCAAGACGGTTTTAAACCTGTTAGTGATTCTAGAATACAGATATATCTACTGATTTCCAACCAAAGATCCATTTGCTGATCATAAGGAGTTCGACTTCGTGAATGGACAGGTTGTGTGGTAGTATCTGGGACTAAAAGGTGTAGCAGAGAAAATAAATCTTATACACGCTCTTCAAATACTACTGGTCAATTTACAGTTTATGGGTAACTGTCATCGCAGTTACCAACCCCATGTTGTGTGATTCGTCAGTGTTGACCGCTTTTCTCACTTTTACACAACTTTGGTAGACAGTCTTTGGTAGAAAGTGCTCTTATCGTCTGACGTTTTAGAAATTGATCCGCTAGAATTATTTCTTGACTTGAGATACGCAGATGACAGTTCCGTTTGGTGAAGGCGATGACAGAATCCAACCCTCTAACTATCTTGAGTAATAATGCATGTCTGGAATGTGAGCAAGTCTGACAGTTTTAAAGATCCTTTATGGACAAGACGACCAGAGAAAATAAAAGCACAATGGATCAGCGGATAACATCCCGACCGTTGCTGCTACCTTGACGTGGTGGTCGGGCTTGCCTATCGTGATGAACCAATCGAGCTATACTGGCTGGAACAATCGTTCCTCGAGGTCCTACCATGCCCGACAGGTCGATTGAAGAGCGGTGAGACTAAAAGCAGCAAACCCAAGGTCCGAAGGCGAAGTCGTACTGCTGACTGTACAGAGGTGTGAAAGCAGTAAGGTGTTTCCTTCAGACAACCAGCATGACAGCGATGCTGCCTTCCCACAAGGAGGGGTGGGGTTAGAAAAGGTCGACCCTAAAAATGCACACCTCGCCTTATCCCACGGATATCCGTCTCCGGCGGTAAGGTTTTTTTTGAAGAACGGAGCTAACACAAAAACTACCCACAAAAAGGTCGTGTGTGACCGACCTCAAGCAGTTGTCCCTTGGGCACTGCGGTCACGCTCTCCGGTCATTAAGACCACTTCTAACCCAATTTCCTTTTCAGGTACCTCTAGAAGAATCCTTCCACGGTGTGGGCAACCGGGAAGTGATAACTGCCCTCATACCTCTAACAACACTCAAGACCACTGTATTCATAATCAATCTCCTTCTTCAATTCCTACTACCTTGACTTTCAACACTAAACTTCCTCTCTCGGTTTCCTCCTCAAGTGTCACCATGGCCAACGATTCTAGTGCGCGAAACGCTGTCCCAGGTCTACTAAAACCTCGCTCCAAACTACACATTGGAGCCTTCAACGTACGTACTTTAAGTCAAATCGGTCAACAGGCCTCCTTAGCTAAAACCTTAGAGTCGCGTACCATTGATGTATGCTGTGTCTCCGAAACACGCATACAGGATCCTAGTGTGGTCATTCACCTGACCTCACCTCGCCAAAATGGACAGCCAACGAAATACACCCTCCGTGTATCTGGCGACCCGTTGGCTAGTTCTCGTGAACTTGCAGCTGTAGGTATAGCACTAAGTACAAGGGCAGAACAGGCACTACTAGAATGGATCCCCGTTAACAGTCGCCTGTGTGCTGTCCGGCTAAATGGCTCCGTAAGAACTCGGAAGGATAGGGACACACGTCGTTGCCTTTTCGTCGTTTCTGCCTACGCTCCCACCGACTGCAGCCATGATGAGGTGAAAGATGACTTTTACAGAAAGCTCTCTGAGCTTCTTCAGCAAGCTAAGCGCTCAGACATAGTAGTCGTAGCGGGTGACTTTAATGCCCAGGTAGGCAGCTTAAATCAAACAGAAAGACATCTAGGTGGGTGTTTTAGTATTCCGGCTCAACGAACCGATAATGGTGATCGTCTGTTGCAACTATGCTCAGACAATCGTTTATTTTTGGCAAGCACTAATTTTAAGCATAAGGAGAGACATCGTCTAACATGGCGACCACCTGCACCAAACCAACGATGGACTCAAATAGACCATATTGTCATCAGTCATCGTTGGAGAGGCTCAATAGAAGATTGTCGCTCGTATTGGAATACTTGTTTAGACTCTGATCACGCTTTAATACGAGCACGCATTTGTCTGCGCCTCAATGGACGCAGGAAAAGTAAACTAAGAAGACCCGTTAGGATTGAACTGGAGGACGAGAAAGCCAAATGTGAATTCCAGAGACAACTGAGTTCACATCTAGGCAGTTCTGTAAACGAGACTGACCCAGATGCTGCTTGGAAAGGCATACGAACAGCTGTGGAGACAGCAGTAACATCTATTAGTCATTTAAACCATAGGGCTCTAAAAAACCAGTGGATTTCTTCTAGGTCTATTTCACTGATGGATTCGCGTAAACTCATACCATCAGGCTCTGAACATGACGAAGAGCGTAAAAAAATTAGATCTAGGTTAACTAAAAGTCTAAGGAACGATCGTGAGCAGTGGTGGGCAACGAAAGCAAAAGAGATGGAAAAGGCAGCGGCTGTAGGCAACACCAGGCAACTATTCAGACTAATAAAAGAAACTGGAATTAAGAAGTCAAGTGTAAGTGAGACGATCTCGGAAAAAGATGGAACCCTTATCTGCTCTCTACCCAAACGTTTAGAACGATGGGCGGAACACTTTAAGGAGCAGTTTAGCTGGCCTTCAGCTACTGCACAACTACCCACTATTCCTAGAAAACCTGAATGGAACATTGAAGTAGGCCCCCCGACCCTACTTGAAGTTCAAAAGGCTATAGGTAATCTGAAACGAGGAAGAGCAGCTGGTCCTGATGGATTGGCTCCAGAGGTCTTTAAATATGGTGGTCCAATTTTAGCGATTAGGTTGACTAATATTCTGGCTAAAATCTGGGAGACGGATGTAATCCCATCCGACTGGTCACAATCACTGATTGTCCCAATATATAAAAAGGGGTCAAAATCATCCTGCGATAACCATAGAGGGATTAGTCTGACTAACATAGTATCTAAAATACTAGCCTCAATAATTATCAGGCGCCTAACTAAAACTCGTGAACTGCAAACACGAGAAAATCAGGCTGGCTTCAGACCTGGTCGTGGCTGTATCGACCACATATTCACCATTCGTCAAGTTTTAGAGCACAGACATGCTTATCGGCGTCCGACAATGATAGTTTTTCTTGACTTGAAAGCAGCATTTGACTCTGTAGACCGAGAGGTTCTGTGGCAGTGTCTGTCATTGAAAGGTGTACCTGAGAAGTACATAAACCTTTTGAAGGCTCTTTACTCGAACACTATTAGTCGAGTGAGAGCTTATGGCGAACTGTCATCTGATTTTACAACCTCAAGTGGTGTCCGTCAAGGCTGTCCACTATCCCCATTTTTGTTTAACTTCATTATAGACCTGTTGCTGCAAATGACACTCTCGTCGACTGAGTTTACAGGAATTGATCTCCTACCAGGGGGACCACTAAGCGACTTAGAATACGCAGATGACATAGTCCTGTTTGGTGAAGACGCTGACAAAATGCAGAGTCTTCTGTTGGAACTGAGTAATAATGCCAGGATGTTTGGGATGCGTTTCTCCCCATCCAAATGTAAATTGTTACTCCAGGACTGGCCTGCGTCAACACTCGAACTAAGGATAGGGAGTGAAGTAGTCGAACGCGTTGACAACTTCACTTATCTTGGAAGTCTGATCAGCCCTAATGGGTTGGTGTCTGACGAAATCTCAGCACGGATTCAAAAAGCTCGTTTGGCTTTTGCCAACTTACGTCACCTATGGCGAAGACGAGATATCCGTCTATCAATTAAGGGACGAGTATACTGCGCAGCAGTTCGCTCTGTTCTACTTTACGGTTGTGAAACATGGCCATTAAGAGTAGAAGATACTCGTAGGTTACTAGTATTTGACCACAGATGCCTTAGAAATATTGCTCGCATCTGCTGGGATCACCGAGTAAGTAATAGTGAGGTTAGACGCAGGGTATTAGGTAACGATGGTAAATCAGTTGATGAGGTGATAAATCTTCATCGACTGAGATGGTTGGGCCATGTGTTACGTATGCCTGAACACCGATTACCACGACGCGCTATGATGACTAGTATTGGGGACGGTTGGAAGAGAGTTAGGGGCGGCCAAACCAAAACATGGCATCAGTGTTTGAAGTCACTAACTTCTAGTCTGAGCCATGTTGGCAGATGCAGACTACCTGGTTGGGGTCCGCGTGACTATCGTAATAAATGGTTGGAGACTCTAGGTGACATGGCTCAGAATCGATCACAATGGCGTAGGTGTATACACTCTTTATCTTCCCTTAAACCTTGAGATTAAAATTGCTTCATAACTTTTTTTTCTTCCTATACTATATTCTTCTATACAATCTTTCTTTATATACTACCATCACTAAATTAATTGCTTCTATGAATCCGGTGTTCATCTTGTTGTGCTAAAGAGGTATGGCAACTTGGACCGATGCATATATGTGCCTGGTCCTACGTTGTAGCTGACTGACTGACTGATCTAGCTGAAATATTATAAGACAGAATACACCTAGTTTATGCACTTGAAATTTGGATTACTGTTTGCTCTGAAATGAAACCTAAGCTGGTAGAGACTAGACGAATACTTGATGATGTGGATAACGTGAAGGCATTTATAACAAGTTGGTCTCGGCTAACAAAACACTTGATCAAACAGTAAAGCCTCATTTTACTTGGGATATATCAAGTGATCATTACCAACCATATACGAGGGAAATATAGTGGTCCTGAGTGCTGTTAGAAGTGTAAGGGCGGTTATTACTTCCTGGTATCACACACGGTGGAAGAACCGCTTTACAGGAGACTGACTTCGAGAGCTTTCAACCTCTCATCAACCAGTTCACTGCTTGGCCAGAACTGAAACTTAGTAATTTTAACCTTAACCAGTTCGCGTTATAGATGGCCAAAAGTTACACTGACTTACATTTGTTCAGCAGTCCCTTCAAAAAATCTTCCACAGCCCCCAAGGAACAATGTGTCGCCAGTAAATACAGCCCCTTCCTTGGTACTGTTTTCCTCGGTAACCAGATAACATATATGACCGGTAGTATGACATGGTGTAGCCAAGCAACAAACGTTGAGGTTGCTACCAATCTTTATTTTATATCCGTGCGACACAATATCGGTCAAACCACCAATACGATCATCTCCTCCGTACACCTTTAGTCCCTCTAAGCCTTGTTTTCTGCATTTAGTTACAAGATCGAGGTTTCCCCCAGCGTGGTCCAAGTGATGGTGAGTTGTCAATATGGATTCAAGTCGCAAACCGCGCTGCGTGACTGCACTCAAAATTTTATCAGGTTCCACTGGATCCACAACTGCGCATATCTTGTATTAGATTATACACAAAAAAATGATAGATATTTTCTTTAATTTGTGCTAAATAATTAAAACTACAGGATATTCTCGAATTATTATTTAATTTAGGTTGATAAAATTGAGACTTAATAAGAACACTGAAATTTCTAATAGCTGGAGATGGGAATCTCTAAATCGAAAGTGTTTTTAGGTGGACTACACGACAAAAAGTATTCAACTTACATTTGACGCCCTATCGACAACTACATACATGTAGTTATCCGACAAAGCAGGTATAGTTATGACTTCCATCACGCAAAACAATTTGCCAAGTTTTATAAATGGGATTCTTATCTTTCTGACCTGAAATGGAGGACAAAACTGCTCAGGCAAAGTAGATGTAGAAGCCTCAAAAGTGGGACTAGATTGATGAAATTCTGGCGATTTAAATCTGATCCAAAATACGACATTTAAAAACAAAAATCTGAAACAATGCAACCCAAGCATGACTGTGATGAGTCACCAGAAAACAACTTAAGTTTGTCGAAATATTAGAAATGAATACCAACCTACCAACGAGCTAACAAACGACTGCAAAGACGATATTTACAGGTTTGAACATGTGCGATGTGCTTTCGCCTGCATTTAAGAGCATATCTTCATTCCATCAATCAAATTTTCACAGAACAGATTAACAGGAGGAAAATGAAACATAGTAATGGGATTCATAGAAAGCCATCATATGCTACATTATGTAACACAAAATTTCAGTGAATTGCAAACATATTTACTGACGAGATAACGTAAACATATCACGAAATGCCAATAGACAACAGTTTGTTTACAGTTTTTGGCACCTTAATCATGAATTACATTGTCTAACTTTACTTCCCGAGACCTGTCGGTTGGTTTGAGTTCTAAAAAGAGATAGAACTGTCACTGTGTGGCCCAGTCTTTAAAGTACTTGAATTTGGTTAAGTTGTATCAAACAAAACATCCAGAGTAGCATATATAACGAATACAAAACAAGAGAAATCAACCTAACTCAGAAAGCATGAACCATGTGTGTAAGATCTTGAATGCATTGCAACTCACTTAGAGACGATTGTAGCGGTTTGAGCCAGAAGGTACTGTGCCGACTAAGGAAGCATGCAAAGTAGCGTGAGGGCTGGAAAAGACGGAAGAAACGGCGAGTCGATGACCCAGCAACGCACTTAGAATTACTAAGTAGAGCAATAGACAACAATCAGTAATAACACGAGTGACAGACTACGACAATATTGGGGTCGAGACGAGAAGCAGCTGGCCCAATTCCTTCCCAAACGCCCTTGAACCTAAGTGGCAAATTTAAACAACTTTCAAAATTTAATCAGCAGATATTGCTAAAAGATAGTTTTTTGAAATCTAAATTTGAGTTATGTGGAAGGGTTCTTGTTTATGTAGGGGCACAGATCCTCGTTTGATCTCTCGGAAATCTGTCTAATGAAATAAATTTTGCTACTGCTCTTCGTCATGAGCTTGTATAAGTGCTTGATTAATTTGTGGCTACCTCTTGTTGTTTTATTACACTTTCAGGTATTTGGTAGTGTTCAATGGGTGGTGTTCTAGCCACTCAACTTCAGTAATTCTTATCAGTTTGGAAGTTATTTGTGGATATGTATATCGCAACTCTACGAATAATTGTGGAACAATCAATTGAACAGAATTCATCACTCTACATCAATTTCATTGACTACGAGAAAGCATTTAATAACGTGAACAGGACAACACTATGGAGGCTTCTTCGACATCAGGGCGTGCCTGAGAGGATAGTCAATATCATACGGAATTCCTATGATAGATTAAACTGCCAAATCGTCTATGGAGGACAACTCACTGACTCGTTTGAGGTAAAGACAGGTGTCAGACAAGGTTGCTTACTCTCACCCTTTCTCTTTCTTCCAGTGATCTACCGAATAATGAAGATATCAACATCTGGAGGGAAGCACGGGGTACAATGGACAGCTAGGATGCAGCTGAACGATTTCGACTTCGCAGATGATCTGGCTCTTCTATCAAACAAGCAAAAACAAATGCGAGTGAAGCCGACTAGTGTAGCAGCAGCCTCAGCAGCAGTAGGTCTCAATATACACAAAGAGAAAAGCAAGACTCTCCGATACAACACAACATGCATCAATCGAATCACACTTGGCGAAGAAGAAGCTTTGGAGGATGCTGAAACCTTTACGTATATGAGCAGCATCATTGATGAACACAGTGGATCTGATGCAGATGTGAGGGCGATGATCGGCAAAGCGAGAGCAGCATATTTACAACCGAAGAACATCTGCAACTCAAAACAATTGCCAATCAACACTAAGATCAGAATTTTCAATACAAATGTGAAGACAGTTCTACTGTATGGAGCGGAAACTTGGAGAACTACGAAAACCATCATTCAGAAGATACAGGTGTTTATTAACAGTTGTCTACGATAAATACTTCGGATCTGCTGGCCAGACACTATCCGTAACAGCATACTGTGGAAGAGAACAAACTAGGAACAAGCGCTAGAAATGGATAGGACCCACATTGAGGAAATCATCCAACTTCGTCACAAGACAAGCCCTCACTTGCAATTTTCAAGGCCAAAAAGAAGAGGAGGACCAAAGAACACATCACGCTGGGGAATGGAGACAGGTATGAGAAGAATGAAAAAAGGTTGGGTAGAACTAGAAAGGAAGGTCCAGGACAGAGTAGACTGGTGAGTACTAGTCGGTGGCCTATGATCCATTTGGAGTAACAGGCGTAAGTAATATTTTTCAGTCTGAGTGAGTACATTTGTCTCAAGGCAGTAAAGACTTTGAGTACTAGTTGGTAAGTCCAAACAGTGTGAGAAGACCTAATTAAAACAAAAAAGGGGGGAAAAGATGATAATAAGATTATTTCCATTGGATTTTTGTATCTTTTATCGTTACTTGTTGTAGATTTTCGTTGAAATTGTTGTAGAATTATGGACTACTTCGTTTTTGGTATTGCTCTAATAATAGATCTAATCTAAAATTTTAGATCTGTCATGATGTGACTGTCTGATCTATAAGATCTTACCTGGAAGTCACATCACTGTCTACACTGATTCATCGTACCATAACTATTGCCAATACATGATGCAAAACACATTCAGACTGCAGATTGAACAATATATTTAATATGAGTAAAAAGAAGTCATACAGAATAACCATGCCTACAAGGCTGAACAACGCCATCCGGTTGGATTCCACTGAATTAATTGCACGTCCCCGCTCTCACCATTATTGACCTTCTATTAGTGTTACATGCTGAAAGTCTATTTTCCCAGGTATCTCATGTTCAGCTTTGAGGATTGTTGTTAGGACCAATACCACTCCAAGCTCATTCACAGCCGCCCGCCGTTACGTTTCACTCGCCTTGAAGGGCCTGACATGCTGCGGTCATTCCGTTTTTCAGTTGCAATGGGTTTGTCGGGCGTTAGTCGGATTACACGAATTTTAAGTGTTCTCATATTTAAATAGTCTCTTGCTGCAGAAACTTTTCCTCCGAAGATAAAGAAAATTTGAAACTAGTGATGCTGCAATCGCTATCAATAGATGGCGTAGTAAAAATCATGAGGGATCGGACCGGTAAGCAGATCACTGCTGTTGATGTAAAGACTATGAAAGCAAACTATCCACATGTGAGTGTACATAAGTATATTATAGGTTGCGGTACGTGGGTTCAAGTATTTAATATGTTGCTTCAGAATAGCGAACTGAGCGAGTATTCTGAAGTAGATATGTCACTACGATTTGCTCCAGTACATGTGAACAGATAGAATTATATCACAAATATCTTAAAGCGGTTGGCACCGATTCTACTGAAAATACCGACAATAAAAAGTGAATATGTACTTTCATCAAATCTACTACGTAGGTATTCGTTATTTCAGCTGGTAATAACGAATTATAAGATCAGTGAATATGGCCTGGACGCCAGACTCCATTTTTATTTCTTCGTTGGTAAGTTGTTCTCAAGAATACGGAAGAAGGTAAGATTTTCATGTTCAGTAGCAGTGATGTAAAATTGAAATCTTAAAATGATATTCACGGACCGAACGCATTCATTATCGTTTACTGTCACAAACGTTACTTTCAGGAGCAGTTAAAATACAGTGATTAGTACATTCTAAAGATATAATGATTCCATAATGTTTTACCCTATCTCAGCATAAAGTTCCGTATAAAGTGAACTCTGAACAAAATATGGTGGGCAACTGTGGAGTTTGCACTAAAAACATTCCTAGTTTCACTGCTTTCGTCACTAACGAACCTTCGGCCGACACACCAGAAAAAACACAATCACGGAAAAAGACTAAAAACCTTACAATAAGATCAGATGTCTCAGTCTATAATCTTATAGGTTACTGACATCTTCACTGACGCATCCAGTGCCACTGACTGGTATAACGAAATTCCTTCATTATTACGTCGAAAAGCGATGCCATTCCCTGTGGTTTACGTAAGCCGGCAGAATATGTCCTTCTGATCCCGTGTACACAGTAAACAGCTCTGCTACTAACTGTCTTCGTTGCTCTCATCAACTGAACAATATGGCAGCGAAGGTTTTAAAACTACATGTAAAAACCAGAGTTTTTGACTGTGCAAACACACTGCGATGCATATTGCAGATACCCCATACAATGGTTTGTTTTTCTTAAGCTTTGTAAAATAAATCAGTTACTATAAATGCTGCAGCTCCTGATAGCAGTAAAAGGCGAACGCTCTTTGTTTGATCTGTCAAGCGACAGATATAGGGGCTTCGCTAATGAATGACGCGCAGTGAGTCATGGTGATGAGTCACTGAACATCTGGTTACAGTGAACAATCTATCCGCCGTACGAACACGGGTAAATAACCAACACCCAAAACCGAAGGCTTGCCTAGTTTGTTATACACAGGATGCTTGAAGAGACATACCTTCGTATTGATGAAAATATTATCGGCTGCAGATGATTCCCTCTCCTTCTGTATATACATTTATTAAACATTCGCTCTATTTGCGTTGGTTGCCTACGTAATAAAATAAAGAAAAGCTTGAGTACCGTAACTGTTGTTTCGGTAACCCTCGTTCACTTAGAAATACAAAAATATCATATGTCTCTCAAAACATATTCTCTATTTCTCTGTTCGATATGGATATGTGGAACGACATGATTTAGGTTGTCAAATTTTCAAAATGCTGCTCGTTTGAAGTTAATAGTTTTTATTTTCCTGACAAGTGGCTTTTCATTGGACAATGATGGCCACGCTTTTGGTTGGTCTAAATGTGAGAAAGAGATGAAATACAACTTCACATTCAGAAAACTTTTATTTTCTGAAATAATCCGGCACTCCAATTTTTAAATAGTATAGTTGTCATGTATAGTATTAAGGACTGTCAATTGTGATCAATCAAAAGTGTTTGAGGGATGGATGCAATGCATAAATATTTTCAAATTCGTATTTTAAGGATTGACATAAACATTAATCTGCATCATATAACTGCATAATAAGGTTATCATAATTCTCTAAGAACAATTAGACTGAAGTCTCTATAGCATCCCATGGATTGCTTAATGATCATTGCAAGTTCAAGCACCTGCTCGAATAATCCTGAAGAAAGTAGAAGCATATAAGGAGCGTAGTGAATTATTCTTGGCGATAATGGAACTGGAAAATCAACAGCATAATCAACTCACCATCATTCTACTATAAAAATTCAAGAAATATTTGATCGATCTCACATAAAATAAATCCAATATACACTCATTGCAAATAGACATATTTCGAGCAACTGAATAATTAACAACCTGAATAAAACCATAGATTAAGTGTTGTACAATCCACTACGACTTCAATAAGTGGCAAAAGTGAGACATATCTTGCGATTAATGCAGGATATTGATTAGTGGGTAGGGTGGTTCCAATCAGCAAGTTTTACAACACCAGAAACAGTGTCACCAGTAAGCAAAGAGTTTCCGAATGTCCCTGATGGTATACCCCGGTCATAGTCACATAATTCTAAAAACCGGCATTGGTACAACATCCCAGACACGTTAGGGTGTGTCTAGGTTTACTTAGCTAGACTCTTTATCTACTTGTTACATTCTTACACTTGAGTACAAAAGTATTTGATGTAACCCTCCTACAACAACTGAGATTACGTTTTAAGTCTTCTTGGTCCAATTTAATGTTACATATGTAGACTAACTTAAGACATGTATAGTATAGCTCTTTCGAAAAGCATTATTAATCATTGCTTCAAGTCGGAATTAATTGAAGTTTTTAACCAAAAGTTAAGCAAATATCCAAAAAATCAGAAAGTATGGTAAAATAATGTAGTTTAATTGTACCATTATTAGCTTCACAATCAGCCTTGCGCTTTCGATTTTGCTGTTAACGCGCGTAGTTAGGATGGTTGGTTTGTGATGATCAGATAAGGTTAGACACGAATACTAGAGTCATCTACGATGCCTCATCAGGATGGAGTAAAATCTAATATCTACCGCGGTCAGCTCCCGACCTCTGCAACTTGTCCTGGGTCTCTATATACCTGTGATTTTCATGATGATATACAGAATGTTGTGCAAAAGCGCACAGCGCTTATGCCAGGTCAAATGGATTTAATATCAAACCAGACATCAAACTATCATCCACTCCCTATAATTAATCACCCTAACCTCACCGTTTGTCAGAAATCGTTTTGTGGGACGGTAAGTTGATTTGTTTTCGGGAATATGACTTTGTTTTATAAGTAATAGTGCTGTTAACTCTCATATTATGTTGCTTGTTAGTAACTTTCAAATATGCTTAGGGTTCGTTTAAACTACTTATTACATGTTATCTCATCTGAATGACACTCAATTGAGTTCGGACTTCGTAATCAGGAATAGATCTCTGTGCTTCTAGTACTTGAAGCCTTGCAGTTACTGTTTGCTTACTTTCTAACTGTGTTGCATGTCTGGCTGACCTATCAGAAGTGGTAAATATAATGTTTATATGGAAGCACTTGGAGGTAAGTATATATGTGACGATAGACATCACAATAATAATTAGTTTATCAGGATTAAGATTTGCCAAGTTTAAATTATCCTCACATTTTATTTTTATTTTCACTGGGTTTCTGAGGTCTTGAGAGTGACGTGAGGCATTTTGCGTAGGGAAGATAAGCGTTTACCAGTTTTTTTTCTAGGTGGATCAGTGGTCGTAATCTCTTTATATATTAGGCGTCAAATATAACCAATAAAACATTTTAGTAATATAACCTTTCGTCTGTAGTTAAAATCCTATTCACAGATTAGTTCAGAATCCAGTATAGTTTGTTCATCTTTGGTTACTTGAGATCATACATCTTGTATGTTTAAATACTAACCGATTCGTGTGTTCATATATAATTGACATTTGAATAGCGAAATCCTGACTTTCCATTTCAAGATAACAAGGTCTTCGAAGTTTTTGGACAGAGCGACCCGGAACCTACACTTTTATTAAAAGACTAGCACTTGAATATTTCTTTTCACGTTTGTTCTTTCATGTTTCATAGTAGCCATAAAAACTGATAATCGTCAGACAGACAGACTTATAAATCTGTGTATTGCCTAAGTGGAATTACAAAGTCAATTTTGTTCCCTTGGAAATGCAAATTGCTATGCTTATCAATATATTGATACTGTTATTGATTAGAGTTCACTAAATGTGAGGTAAAGTTAACAGTAGCCTGTATGCTTCCCTAAAACTGTTGTGTTTAGGTGAATTTCATCACAACTAAATTTATCAATAGGCCATCGCTAGTGTTGGTTCTAATTTTTAAATCCTTCGTTGACTTGAAGCATTTAACTCCAAATTGCCGTTAGTTTGTTTCATTTCATTCACTAAATCCTCATAGTTCGGCTAGTAGCTACATTTTATCTGCTAAAGAAATGATATTTATCAGTTAATTATTTAGTATTTGAAGTCTAGCTACTTTGAAAATACGTACATTTGTGTTATTCGTAATTTCTTATTGCTAATTAGTTCATTTATTTGTCATGATCTTTCTCAAGCAAATGTTTCATTTAATTCAACCATTAAGTTTGTTAATTGAAAAGTCACAAAGATTTTTTGTAGTTGTAAGTCTTATTTTAACGACAGATATATTCTGTTTAGTCCATTTTGTCAAATAGCCAGTATGTGGAAATAGTTGTTTTGTTGAGTTGTGAAACCGAAATAATCAAGATGGTTTGACTGCCCTGACGACTGTTTGGTCTTGAACTTTACAGTACCTCTGGACTTTTGAAACTAATTATCCATTTTGAAAACACCCGGAACAGCCTTCCCAATACCGGATTAGGCAGTAGTATCACACAGAAATAACTTTTGTGCTCACCACGACTTATGAGTAAAATCGAAGTGAATTAGAAATTATAGAGTACTGTTATCCAAACAAAGCCATCGTACAAATGAGATTTTCAGATAAATTAAGTAAATATACAACAGTCATGAGGATTTTTTCTTTGTATGGAAAATTTGCTATCAATGGTGTACAATACTCATCATTTTAAAAGCAGCTTAGTCATAAAACCCGTTTTCTATACTCTCCGCGACACGTTTCAGTTCATTATGTACTCATATCTTCATTCTGGATATTAATGGGGTAAGGGGTTATATAGCTGAATAATTGTATTTAGTGGTGTTCTTATTAAAATAAAGATAGTAACAAATTTAACACCTAATAAGTTTCCAACAGTCTTTCAATTACAACCACTCATTATCTTACTGAACGTCTGAAGTAAAACCATTCAGCTAAAATTCCTCACACTATTTCAAACAATAAAAAACACTTATCAGCAAGAAAAATCCTATCAGTTTTAGTTCGTGAATGCGGTTTTGTTCCACTCCACAGTTCAGTTTTGCACTCCCTCAGTTATCAACTGATTCCTGCCGAAAAATTGGGCCTTAAGTAGCATAGACATCCCGTTGATCATATCACTCATTGGAAAGTTTACAGGAATTTAAATTTTGTTAGCTTTTTTTCTGAGGTAAAGAAATCACTAAACTGGAGCTTAAAGTCATGCTTGTAGTTATTTTCTACACTGTCTTCTGTCACTAAGTTTCCGATGTTTTTTTATTTTTGTTGATGTCCTTGATGCCTGGTGAAAGGTGTGTTCATTTATAGACTCAATTTGTCACTGAAGCTAGTTTTTCCAAGACTATCAATATTTTTAATGTTGCGTCGGCCTTCATGTATAGTTTGCCTAACATCTGGATGCAGCTCACTGTTTTGTGGAATATTTTGATAGTTAAAACTGGAAAAGATTTCAAATCCAACTTACTGGTTTTTAGCATTTTGTTTGGCTCTGTTGGTGAATTTTCCAGTTCTTCTAAATGATTTATATGAAAACTTCCCAAACTCGATATGCTATATAGCTTTTTCGTCTGAAAAAGCATTTTTGAATCTAGTGTTTATGTTCTCATAAGATACAGAATTTTATTCATCACTCATTGGAATTTACAATAAGATTAATTGATACTTTGGTGACCGCATGATTTATGATTTCCTGATTGACACTGTAACAGAACCACACAGGATCTTTTTTCATCCAATAACTGTAAAAGTCTCGTTCCTTTGAATTCAAAGTTCTTATTTCTTGACATTTTCCCAGTGACCACAATATATGTATCTAAGGTTGTATTGCCGTTTGGGAACTGATACAAAATCACTTCGGTTATTTATTTACTTTGAAGTGGCTTTCATTAAGTTTTGAAACATCAAAAATACAATTTTTCTACTCATTGGGATATAACAAAAGGTATATTTATTACTTACTTTCATAAAAAATGTGTTTGCTTTCGCCAGTGGCCTCATCGTTCTACAAAATAATGTAAATTTTTATGTTATACTTCCTTAGTTTTTTGACTGTTCGTCAAATGCATCTTCACCAGGTTGTGCTGCTTCATCACCGGTTTGTCATTCAGGTGTATATGGAATTATTGAGCCTCCACAAAGTAGTTCTATCCCAACGGCACAGACACTTGCTTTGTCTGCACACCATGTCTCTTACAACCCAGATACTGTCGTTCCTCAAGGTTTCGCCACTGAAAACAGGATGCACGGAAATCCAACGGCACACAGGCTTACCCATAGCCACAGTGCTCAAGATGCTGGAGGCTTCATGTTTCAGTCACTGTTTCCTTCCCCAGGTCAAGTGTTACATCGGTATGGTTCACACCTAACTCCAAATCATATTCAAATGCACCAAATTTCTCCGCCAGGTAATATATATGGTCCGTTGGTTTCAGTTCCCGTACCTTACTTTTCCCTTGGATCAACTAGTTCAAACTCTTTGTCACATAACCCTCTAGTTTATTCAGGGCGATCCGCGTCGAACTCAGCATGTGCAAGCACAAATAATAATCCTTCCGGTGCAAGTCCATTAGTCAGTCGAAGACCTCGTCTCCCTAATAGTAATTCATGTGCATTTAGTGAATTGTGGCAACCGGGTCCTGTACCTAATATATCCACACAAAGTTCAGCATTACCACTAACTTCAAACATCGGAATAACACAAAATCCACCAAACTGTAGTTTACGAGAGCGTGCTCCATGTAACCATGACACATCTGCATATAATGAGTCACAGTTTTACATCACAGGTAAGCACAACTTAGGAATATCATTTTTTACCAAGTTAAATATTTTCATGATCTTATCTAATGAGTTACTCAGTGTTCTCTCGATCTGAAGGAATTTATTTGCACTATATGTAAAATCATCGTGGGTTTGTAAATCTCAAGATTCAGTTTGGTATCTTTCAAATCATATTTGTTTATTTACTTATTTATGTGAACACAAACATTGGTACAAGGGGGCACACAGTAATAATGAGGTTGTGAAAAGACATAGAAGTTAGTGTATGGGAGTGGAATAATAATAAGTGGATAAACTGTTCAGTTAGGAAAAATACAACCAGAAAGAATTCTTTTAGTCAAAGAAGTTACGTTTACCTTTATGAAGAAAGTGAATAAAAGGTACAGCAGAATCGCCACTGGCTTCTATTCTGATCCATGTTTGATAAGGACCCTAGCTACTGTGTTGTCCCATCTCCAAAACCCCAACGAGGGAGTCGTGAAGGACTAACAAAAGTCAGTCCTGTACAGCCTTCTTTCATACTACGAAACCATGTCATACACTGAACACCTCTCCTCTTTCTCCAACCGGTCCCAGCGTCGGCAAATAATTCATGATGTGAAATTCTTTGGGATGAGACTCTTAAGACACGTCCAAGCCACCGAATTCGTTGTTTCAAGATAATGACACAAATTGAATTGTCATCGCTGTGCCCAAATACACGATGGCGAACCTCCTCATCGCTAACATGGTGTTGCCACTGGATTTCAGAAATCCTTCGAAGACAATGAAAACCAAACACAGAAAGTTGTCTAACATCTTCAACTCGGAGAGGTCAGGTTTCACAAGCATAGAGCAAAACTGCTCTCACCGACGCGTTGTAGATCCGACCTTTTACAACCAGACCAAGATTACGATGGTACCAAAGGTGACAAAGATTGGCATACGCCTTTCTGGTTTTCACTATACGTGAATCGATCTCGTCGCTCACGCCACCACCACCAACACTTACTCAGCTACCTAGATACATGGAATTCTCGAATACTTTTATCTGCTCACTACCCAGAGTGAGTGCAGGTTCAAGGTCCTGTCAGTGTTGTAGAAGTACTTTGCAATTAGAAGGTGCAAGGCACATACCATGCCTACGGACACTGATTGCCAACTGATTAAGTGAGGATTGCATGGCTTGGGTATCGTCGCATAGTAAGACAATATCGTCCGCATACCCAAGGTCGAGAAGTCTTTCTCCAGGCAACAGATCGACACCATAATTATCTGCATACATTAGAGCTGTTTCCAAAATGTCATCGATGGAAAAGTTGAAGAGGAGTGGTGAGATTGGGCAACCCTGTCTAACCCCACTTCTTAAATGGAACAACGGAGAGAGGTGGTTGTGTTCCTCACTCTGCCTGAGGTGTTAGTATATGGGGCTTTTGGGATGTTAATAAACTTCTCAGTCATACCCTTCTTCAATAGACAATCCCAGAGAACAGTCCTGTCCAACGAATGGAAGGCGACCCTGATGATAAGAAACACTGTGACATTTGGCATGTTATAAGTATGGCAATGTAATAACATTTGACAGAGGGTAAAAATATGATCAATATATCATTGACCAGAACGAAAATCAGCCCGCTACTCGCGAGTCAATCTTTCTCGGGTTTTGTTATAACTGTTATAATTTCTTTATACGAATATTCGTCAAGGTTAGAACGAATAGTTTGACAATAATTGGGCGCTGAGTATAGAGAATTCATTATATGTGAAAAAATTATATTTGAAATAGTCTCAGCGATTGAAATCTAAATAATTCCAACGTTTCGTCCAGCTAACTTGTCTGGACTTCTTCAGGGAAATAATCAAAATCAAAATCATCAAAGAAATATATAGTGTTTTTTTAACAATCATATCAAAATCTCTACTACTTTAATCCAATCATATTTGGATGTCGGATGGAAGTAAGAAGCGTAACAAGAAATACTTTAGTGTATTTGTAGTTTTTACATGAGGAGATTCTAGAGTCTTCTCCAAGCATCGACTAGAGCTGATTGGATAAAAATTAGCCAATCAGTGTGCACCAGCACAATCGTGCATGGAATATACTTTAATCCAATCTATGTCCCGCTTACACCTCTTTGAGCAGATTCGTAGGATCTGATGCTAGGGTCCAACTGCAACCGAGTGACTGGCCTGTGCTCTCGATTTGTCCATCGTCTAGGCAATAAGGAAGTTGTATCACTCTTTGCTTGCACAGAAACTGACCTGTGTATTTCAAAGGTGTCTAGCAGAACGTCAAGAGGCATTCGATTTTGAGTCTCGTTACTGGCTATCGAAGTTGCTTTCAATTGGTTAGCATGACGTATCCAAACTTCTGAGCCAACTGACACCTTATAAACCACATTCCCTTTCTTTCTCACGATCCGATCAGCTGTCCACGTAGGATGTTTACCACGATAGTCCATAGCAAGTACGTTTTGACCCACCGTAAACAATCGTCTTTGTGCCCCATTATGTCGATTGAACTGCTTCTCCATCGATACGTTTCGTTGAGGCTCAAGAGCTGGCGTCGGACGGATGACGTTGAAATGTGTTCGTATTTTTCTGTCAGATAGAGCTTCTGCTGGAGTGACCCCGTTGATCGTCTGAGGGTTCGGTGTACAGCTATAAATAAGCAGGAACCTCTCTAAGATCTCTTCGGTGGTACCCTCCCTTTTGAATTTTTTCAAAGCATTTTAAATGTACTGACAAAGCGTTCCACTTGGACATTGGATTGGGGATGGAATGGAGGTGTTCGGACATGATTGATTTCGTCTTGCCGACAAAATTCTGAGAAGATAGCGGACGTAAACTGTGTTCCATTGTCGCTAACTATCAATTCTGGGACCCCGAAACGACTGAATAGTTGACGTAGTTTTTGGCTATGCAACTTGCTGTTGGATGTTCCATGAGAAAAATTTCTAGCCACTTGCTGTATGCATCAACTACCAGAAGGTAAATTTGTCCATGTAGTAGACCAGCAAAGTCCAAGTGTATACGCTGCCACGGTGACTGTAGTATTGGCCATGATTGCAGCTCTGCTTTAGCTGCTCCAGTTGGGTGTCTAAATGGAGCCAGCATACATAACTTCGTGCTAGTGCTTTCATGCGATTTATTCCAGGATGTCCTGTGTGCGCCAAATACCCTGGTACGGCTGACAGTGGGGAAAGTCCGCTCTCCCTCTCGAAATGCTCTCACATGGCCACGCCTATGTAGCCTCTGGCAGGAAAGTCCTACTCACTGCCTTCTCGTGGCGGGGGTGTTGTTTACGAAATTGAGAAGACGAAAAGCGAATGTCCGGCGCTTTAACCGGGTCGGTGGACACGGCGAGTCCACCTAAGGGAGTTGGAAAACCCTGATTCCAAACCAATGGTGAACATGGGCTCCAGTATCCTTAGGGAACAAATGGCGTATGAATCAATCGTTGGTCACCGGCTACCATGAGTCTGCATCTCCTCACGATGCTCCACTGCTTTGTGGATCAGACCTTCAGGTGAAAGGCTCCGGGGGTGGCCCCCTAAGCAAACCACTTGCTTCAGTTTGGGCACCCTGGCAGTATCACAGCCCTCACACAAATCGAATGAGATTTGTGCGGCGCATATATATCTGGTGCCCCCTTGTGCGAATATTTATGTGTTTAAATAAATAAATAACGTTCTGAATTAGTGTACGAACGTTAAAGGAGATCAGTTTGAATGGTATACGTGGTTCCAGAAGAAGGGTTTAGAATTCGTATTTGGCGGCAGCATTCAACTTCCAACCGGTCATTGACATGAGATCGTTTAGATAGGACAGGGTTTCACCATAAGTGGGCTGCTGTAGGGGTTGAATAAAGGAATATATAAAATAGGAATAAAGGAGTAGACAAGTGAAGCAATGTGAAATGAAATTGGGTATTAAAGACTTGTTTTGAGTATTAGTCACGAGAATGAGAATTAAGGCGTAAATAAATTTTCTGATTATGGTCATCATTTAATTTGTATGTGGGCTAGGACAAGTGATGAAGAATAAAAAATAGGAACAAGTGTTACCAAATGTTTGTGAGTGGGATTTGTCTGAATATGTGTTGAATTGAAAACAATTTTCCCAGTTGTAATCATCATTTGGTTCGTATGGGAGCTAGGATATTACCCGGGCGCCCAAACCAAATAAGATGGGTTTTTTTAAAAGACCACTCCACGAGTCTTTGATTTAAAGGTCTAATTCACGAGGCAGCGGAGCAACCTTAGGAGATTCAGTCTTATGGTAGCTAGTGAACAACATTAGATTCATACGTCACTTGGTCCCTCAGGATATTGGGGCCCATATGCACCATTGGTTCGGAATCGAGGTTTTTCAACTCCCTTCAGTGAATCCTCCATAGCCACCAACCCGGTTAGAGCACCGGACATTCTCTTCGTCCTCTCAATTTCGTAGACAACACCCCTGCCGCGAGAAAGCAGTGAGTAGGACTTCTCTGACAGTGGCTGTATACTCGTGGTCATGTGACAATATTTCGAGAGAGAGAGAGAGAACTAACTGTTCTCATCCTCTGAAACATCGCGAAATTTGGGGGGTCTCTCTATAAATCACTATTATAAATTATTGATAATCCCCGTCAAATCGGTGTGTATCTGTCCTGTTAGAAATATACTGTTATTTTATCATTATTCTTTTATGGAAATTTTGCTCTACCCTGAGTAGTGACAGTACTTAGATGAATTTATCAAAGTTATAGGGAGTGGTGGGTTCCTTTTTCTACGTTGATAATTGTCTATATATATATATATATATATATATATATATATATATATATATATATATATATATATAATATTTTGTATATTAGATTACAAACAGTTCACTGTGTTTTATGTTTTGTTTACTGTCTCGTAGAAGATAAGTGCTTTCTGCAGCCAGGTAGAATTTGCCACCATCAAGTAACCTCGATCACTCAAAGCCCTAAAACAAAAAACATCGATGAGTCTTTATTGTCTTCAGACTCAAATGCTAGTCCCACTGGAGGATGTAAATTAGAACCGGGTAACAAAAAAGGTGCCCCGCTTCCACCACCAATTCCTCCTCGGTCGAATTGGCGAAATCAATTTGTTTCAACAACAAATACTCGTGTTAATGCTGCAGATCACATAATCTCAGCAACTGCTGTCCATCCTGTAACACCATCACACGCCTACAAAAAAGAATTTGCAAGGTAAGATCAAAATTACGGTACTTGTTTTTTAGAGAAACTTTAAGTTATTATCCTTCTGATCACCTGTAAAGCTCCTAATTGAAATATAATTATTGGGAATTCACGTTTTGCTAACAAATGTATGTGTCTCATGAGTCCCATCAGATTTTCGCAACCTTATAGCCGATGTGCTAGTTTCTCATTAACATTTCTGGACACAACTTAGCCAACAAACTGCATTGCATCCTGGTTTTCCTATTCCCTTCTCTTTAAAAGCAACAAGTAGCAAAATATCCATCATTTGATTGATGTGATAGTTTTTTGTTTAATACTGACTAAAATTAGTATCTCGTATTTTCCACTGTTTATTAAACCAACCACTCAATTTAATTTAGCTACTCGACTTATTTATTTTCCAACATGATAAAATATACTCATTATTAAATGTTTGAGCTTAATCATCAGTGAGTTTTCTGTTTCGGCTTCATATATACCTACATATATCAGCAGTTCAGTTTGCGGTTGTTAGCAAACGTATGCATCGTTATAGATTGTTAGATGGCTTCTCTACGCTTTATACTTTTCTTAAGACACAGAGTTCCGTTTACACTAATATACTACATGTAGTATTATCAACGATGAGCTAAGATAGCATGAATTACTTGTGAACCTTTCTGTTTCATATGTGCTTGAAAAGTTGGTAAATGATCATGAATTTACCCTTGAAATAGTTTTGGCTCCGTGTAGGGCTAGTTGAAGGTTTTTTCTATTTTTAAGGAGACTAGATCACCTTATACTGAAATTCTTGTAAATGTTTTTCAATTGGATCTTCATTAGGCTGTACTCTTTTGTACAATAATGTTTATCTACACAATTAATGACAACTCGTTAAGGAAAAGTATGTATAGAAAAAAAGCCCCTCTATGCGTCAGTACAAACACTTTAGCTTTACACCCATTCGTTACATAAGAAACCTAGTTAGATATATTGAGAACCAAACAAAAACAATCTCAGACGACGCCGTAGAAGAGTTGGAATTTACTTATAAAGCGCTTACCGAAACACGCTTCCCGCAAAGATTTTCAAAGGATACATAAATGGTGCACAAGACGTTTAATACATCAACCCCTCAAAAGAAACCCATCTCCTTAAATTACAATTCGAGAGGGATGTACCTATTGATATCCTACGTATTACATTGGTGAAAGGGTAGCGAACGAGAACATCAGTAGGGACAATCAAATGTATTTGAACACAAAACTACAGAATCTTTTAGCAAAATCTGAGAACTATACAGTAAATACTTCATTTACAATATGTTAATCAATTGTTTCAGACTTGATTGTTCCTTCGTTTCCACACCAATCACTCCCTGTTCTCCTCCTATTTTCTTTGATCTACTTGACCTGCCGCCAGGCATTTCACTTTCGATTGATGGCACATGCTACTTACATCTGTCGACATCAGTACCACACACCACAAAGGGAGTTAAAAAGACTTTTCACAGCGAAGCTTATTTTTAGTTTATTTTTAGTCTTATTAGTTATTTTTTAGTCTACCAGTAATGTGTACTGAAATAAATAATAAATAACCTAATTTCGCCTCTCTGATTCGAATCTAAAAATTCAACAATAATTAAGAGAATGCAAAGGGTAGGAGGATGTATATTACGTATCAGATATGTGTGACTATATGCCAGTATGTCTATAAACAACAGTAAATCGCTATCTTCTTTCGCCTGCAAAACAGTATTGTTTCATTTGTGTTAATCTAACCTACACGATGAGAATTTCTGATATCTTCACTGTTTCATGCATTTGACACATAAATTTAGAAATAGTTTACTCTTAACTTTATAGTCATATCAATGATAATCTCAACAACAACTTTGATTCAAATTCTCACAAAAACATTGAATTTCTATCAAGTGTGATAGAGGCATGATTTATGATTCTCAGGAGTATAAAGTCCAGATTCAAAATAACATCTATCAGTCAAAAAGTAATGGGTAGTATGACTTTCTAGACAAGTTGACGTGATGTTACCATCATACAGTAATTAATGGCATTTAAGTCATCATTTTTTTGGTACAAATGACATGACCTCAACTTCATTCAAATTAAAAAGCTGATCAAACACGGTCGTTCCCAAAATTTCATGACTATATTTAGCGAATTGTTTTCACCTATTTATATCATTCTTACTACAAACTTTGGATCATACTAACCATTGGTTCGATTTGTATAAAAAGCTAATGTATAGAATACACTGGAAATATCTTATTATTATTTTTCGTTAAGCCCAGGTTACTGAATATGCTCCACTCACAAAGCAATAGAACACATGGACCACTCTATTTTGCTTGTAATTTCCTTTCGATAAGTATATTTGAACGTCGTAAGGATAGTTAGCAAATAAATATCAAACTTTTATAGGTATCAATGCCAAGGTTGGACGTTAAGCATATTTTTTTGTTATATCCCAATAAATAGAAAAGTTGTATTTTTAACGTTTCGTGACTTAATGATAGCCATTTCTTCTCAGTAGAAGTGGTCAAAAATACAATATTCTACTCATTAGAATATAACTAAATACTACATATATTATTATTAGACTTTTAGTTCATCGATACAATGAATCTATTTCTCATAGGATGAATCTTAGTTTCAGAGTTTTAGATTTTTACAAAAGTGTTGATATTCTGTACTAAACATTGAAATACCGCCATAGCTTTTCACATTAATTCACAGGGAAACTAAGATGTGACGGCGTCCTGTAATACAATGATGAACTTATTTGGAAAAAAGAGAAATCTCATTTAATGTTTATGTACGTATGATGATAGTTGATAGATGATAATTTGTATAACACTGCATATAAGCAAGTAATAATTGAATAATAGTAGCGCTGTGGCTAAATCATAACTTCAATGTATCCTGTAAAAACAATAATGTTTTCTTCATAAGTTTCCAATGTTTTATAGTTCTTTTTATCAACTTTTTGCAGCAGACCCCAATCACTAAACACAACTGTAAATCGACAGAATTATCGGACAACGAGTAATTCAAACAAAAATGCAACAAGTCCCGTAGCTACGATTAGCTCTTCTCTTGTATTGAGTATCGCCGAGGAATCAAATAAAGTCAGTACTACAGATTCTCGTGTTCAAACTTCAGATGATAACATGCAATCGGTATTATATACAGCAAACGACATAAACTCACCGTCAGATACTCCTCCAAAACTACCTCCTCGTATGGTGACATCGAACAATGGCAATATCCTGATACCCAAAAAATCTCAAGCCCCTGAAAAAGTAGGTTTGCCAGTATGATAGATAAGTGTAAAGCAAATTCGATCATTGTGTATAATTAATCGTTCTTTGTTTGCTAATGTTTACACCGGCCATATCTTTAAGTAAAAAAATCTATGATGTTTCAGGTTCACGAAGTGTAATAAATATGCATAGATCCAGATATTATTATAAAGAATTATAATTTATGATACACTTATATTCTTGTAATGTTATTGCTTTCTGTGACTTGAGCGATTCAGTTGTATGGCTTTCATTATCATTCTAAGCAACATGTTCGGTATCAAATTTAAAAAGGTGAGTTGTTACAACGCATTTTTGAGTGTTCTGTAAATTTATTTTAATGATCGAAATTGGGGTATTACCATGAACATTCGTACTCTATTTGAATGTCTTAGTATATCAATATTTGGTTTGAAGTTTATTGATACAACCCCCTTTTTGCGGGAAACTTTTAACACTCATACCATAAATATTCAATGGACATATGAAAGCTGAATGGTGAAAATGAGGATAAAAGATAAATAACAGCGACTTAATCAATCCCGATGCTAATTCTTATATGAACATCTAATTAATTTACAAAGAAAGACTCATTGAAAGCTGTATAATATAGTATCTTGATTTGTGAATTAGATACCTTCCCTAACCATCGTTCATTTAGATGCAAGAGAAATTATCTGGGTAATATAATTTTTGTTTAAATTGGCTTGAAAAAGGAATCGTTTTTTTCTTTTTATGTCGTGAGTTGATAAATATTGATCAATTAGTTGTAAATCCCTTTAGTCTTAAAGAGAAATAATAATACTGCCAGTAAAATTTCAACTAGAATACGGTATTGTTCAGATGGATACTAGTATCTGTTTTTAACGATTTCATTATACTCCATTTTTTATGACAATTGTAGATTATCAACGGATAATTTACGTTGATAAATTTAAGTAGGTTTAGACCAATAAAACGAGTGTTTCTGCTTCTTACATATTAGAGACCATCAAAATCAGATTTTAGATGTCGTTCTAGTCTAACTTTTAAGCTTCCCATTTTCAGGTTGAAAAAGTTAGCACATCACATCTGAATACCCCTACAGAACAACAACAAGATGAAATGGGAATGGACGATTTTTGTAGTCGGTCTGCTAGTCCTTTTGTAAATCAACCAATTAAAACTTATTTCTTAAATTCGACGGAACCTGTTATTCCTGTTAAACTTGATGATGATGATGATACTATGGAAAAACCGACATATCCTTCAACGAAACTATCAACACAAGTCCAAGAACCTGAAATAGCAAAAGAATCTATGGATTCATCCCATGAACAGCATACATTTCGAATAGTAAAACCAGTTAATCCAGCTGTTTATCGGCGTTTTATGGAACAAAGAATGGCAGATATTGGTAGAATACACCGAGAACGTAAGGAAAGACGTGATCGTCTTGAATCCGAAATGTCTAAAGTTGGTTTAGATGAAAATGCTCGTGTTCAAATGCGCTGTTTGCTTCGCAAGAAAGAGTCTAATCACATGAGAATGCAACGTGCTAAAATGGACCAATCAATGTTTTACAGGATAAAACACTTAGGTAAGTAGTTATTACAGAAAAGCAGCTGTTTGGAAGTTAAATGAAAATTTCTTTTCCTCTTAACTTTATATTTTATGGTAAACAAAAATTGTTAAAATATGAAAAATTAGTGCAGTTTAAAAGAGAGACTTCTCATTTATTCGAACATTATTATTGTATACATGCAAATATACCATCAAATGCTATCTTAAATCAGTTCATTCATTATCTATGGACAAACAGAACGTCTTTTGTTTAGACACAATCTAATTTTTAGATGCAATTCAAGGGTATGTTATATCCTTTCGAATTTCTTATCTATAAAATTGGTTTTAGTTGTCGTTTATTTATTGAATGTTTAAAAAATGTTCTACACCTAATGTGAATAGAAGAACTTATATACCTCGATTTTCTGTCGATGTTATTCTTATGGTAAGGGATACAGCGTGTTTTCTATAAAATCTAACAGTAGTTGATCAAGTACCAAATAAAACTGGACTGATATCTGTCCTAAGTTAAAAATACTCATAAAGGCCATATTGTAAACTTTTGTAATCGAACAAATGACTGTCAGGTTACGGACTATATTTTCATTTTCACTTGTCTTGGTAAAACCTCTCACACTTAACACTTTTCAACTGCGTTTATGACTTCTTACGTTAACCGACCTGTATGTTATGATAACTATAGAAAATAAAATGTGTTATTCCCTATTCAGCAGAGGTTTAATGACATCTTTCTTTAAGAACCAAAAGTCTTAATTAAAACTATGTACATTAGTGCTTAACAAATATGTCTAGAAATAAACTTCAATACGTTTTTATATGTAGTGGTTGTTAATTTTCGAAGTATGATTTATAACATAAAAGTTAAGTGTTATGACCTAGACACTGTGTTTCCGTTCTTCAGTAGTGTTCTCGATATCACTAGCATTTAAAACATCTGAGTTTCGTCATTTTACTAAAATCATGAGTTATTGATTTTTTTTTAGAAGAAATTCCTGTTGCCTATTCTCATCCTTTTCTGTATAATAAAACCAATAGTCTCAATATATCATCGTCAAAATAAAGCGTCCAAGTAATGCAACGACGTTCAATTAATAGGAACAGTAAAGACGTAATAATTCAGTTACAAAATAAAGCCGATAAATTTTATCATAAACAGTGCTGTAGAGTTGTTTTACCTACGAAGCCTGCCCATCTAGTCATCTATTATGAGATAAACAACTCCATTACTATCTTGTATATCTTCCTACTGGACAAAACAGTTATGATGTTCAGTTGAATGGTAAAAACTCGTTACTTACACCTTTTACCCCTCATAAAGGAGCATAGGCCACTCACCAACATTCTCCATCTAACTCTGTCCTGGACAATCCTTTCCACTTGTTTCCAGTCGCTATTCATCCTCTTCATATCTGCTTCCAATTCCCGACACAATGTGTTCTTTCATCTTCCCTTTTTCGTTTCCCTTCAGGATTCCAATTTAGGGCTTGCTTCGTGATGCAGTTTGATGAGTTCCGCAATATATGTCCTACCCACTTCCAACGTTTTTTCCTAATTTCCTCCTCGGCTAGAAGTTTGTCCTCTTCCACAGTAGACTGTTACTAATGGTATCCGGCCAACGGATATTTCGTATCTTGCGTAGACAACTGTTTATAAATACTCGTGTCTTTTTGATGATGGTTGTAGTAGTTCTCGACGTTTCAGCTCTGTACAGTAGAACTGTGTTGACGTTCGTATTGAAGATTCTCACTTTGAAGTTGACTGACAGCTGCCTGGAGTTCCATATGTTCTTCAACTCTAGGAATGCTGCCCTTGCCTTACTAATCCTCGCCTTTATGTCAGCGTCGGATCCTCCTTGTTCATTGATGGTGCTGCTCAAGTACGTGAAAGTTTCCACCTCTTCCATAGTTTCCCCTTCAAGTGTGATTGGGTTGGTGTTATCTGTGATGAATTTGAGGAAGTTGATGTATAGTGACGAGTTCCGTTTAATTTATTGTTCAATGATGATCCTTAGTGTCGCGATTTGGTCTGTACACGACCGATGCTTACGGAATCCGATCTGTTGTTCTCGAAGTTGGGCGTCTACTGAGTCTTTCATCCGGTACAGCAACACTCTGTTGAAAAGCTTTCCTGATACTGACAGCAATGCGATGACTCTGTAGTTCTGACATTTACTCAGATCTCCTTTTTTGGTATATTGATGAGGTATCCTCCTTTCCAGTCTATCAATGGCACTTGTTCTTCCTCCCAAATCTTCCTGAATAGAATGTGGAACATGTTTGTAGTTACTTCTATGTTTGACTTTAATGGTTCAGCTGGTATATTGTCAGGTCGTGCTGCTTTCCCATAATTAGGTGGTGATCTGAAGCCATGTCAGCTCATTCCCTGGTTCTCACGTCTTCCATTGACCTTGTGAATGTTTTACTGGCGCGAATATGATTTATCTGATTCTCCGTGGTGTGATCCGGTGAAACCCATGTAGCTTTATGTATGTTTTTGTTTAGGAATATCGTATCGCCTATAACCAACTTGTTGAGTGCACATAAATTTGCAAATCTGTCACCATTCTCGTTCGTTTCTCACAGTTCATGCCGTCCCATGATATCTTCATAACCATTGTTGTCCATTCCGAATTTGGCGTTTAGGTCTCCCATGAGGATTATCAGGTTCTTTCCTGGGCACTTCTCTATGATAGATTGCAGCCTCTTGTAGAACTGATGTTTATCGTCGTCATTGCTATCATTGGTGGGTCCATAACACCGGATAACATTCATCATGATCCTCTCCTCTGATTTAAAAGTTGCTCTGATGATCCTGTGTCCATGAGATTCCCATCCTATAAGTGCATTTCGTGCTTCTTTGGACAGCAACAAATCAACTCCTTGAGTGTGTGGAGCATTTTTCTCTTCGTGACTGAAGTTCAGCAGTATCTCTCCCGTAGGTAATTTTTGCTGTCCAGCTTGGGTTTAATGGGTTTTCTTGATTCCAAGAACTACGAAGTTGTATCTCCCCATTTCCGTAGCTAATTGATTAGTCCTTCTGGTCACTCACATTGTCCGAACATTCCATGTACTTGTATCAATTGTTGCTCTGGTTGTTAGAAGTGGCATCGGCCTCGTGACTTCTGAAGAACATCGGTTTTAACCATGAGGCGTTATAATTCTCCCTACAACTTGGAGGACGCGGTTTAAATGGTTTAATTTGTTTATTCTGGTTGGCGTTTTTTAGCAAGGATGTTTTGTACAGATATGGTTGCTGACCCCATGTCAAACCCTCCTCTTTTACCCAGGCTTGGGACCGGTAGTAGCTCTAGAATAACTGCAGGCGGAGTCGGCGAAAACTCGCTTTTGAAAAATGTTTACCTAATAAGGATTTTCAATAGGTAATTTCTCAGTTGTCCACAGAACTAAGTTTCAACACTCATTGACTAATACTTAATCTTTATTTAAAAACAGTACAGCCATCATGAGTGCAATCATTCATGAGTATGACGAAAATACAATTTTTTTGACAGATGTATACTGATTATTAACCCCTCTCAACAATATCTTTATAACTCCAACGTAGAAACGATGATGGTTAAAATGGAAAAGTTGTCCTAATCTACCCATTACGTTTTTTACTTCTTAACACAGGAATATATATTACTCCTGAAAGAGATGAGTAATATCTCTATGTTTGACATTATTTGAAATTGCACATTTTTCCTGGTGTACCTGAAGATTTATACTTTGCCTCTATGATCGTAGGATATTTTTCATACTTATTACTAAATTTCCGGAAAAGTTTCATGGTGGCTGACAGTGGAACGCAGTATGCGCGTCTCATCTCATTACTGACTCATCAGTTGACTCTATCTAAACGTGGATCCTATATTCCAATACTAGCCACTATCAAAGTTTTATTAAAATATCTATGATTTAATGGCTGTATTGTGTCAATCCACTCAGGATACACGTATCCCAAAAATTACATATCAACGACGGAGGAATTCAAGTCCTCACAAATGAAATAATTACCAAAATATTTTTTACTGTTGAGTTCGTTATCATAAGCTAGTAATTCCTCCCTAAATTTCTATTAATTTACCACATACCGTTCTTGTTAGTTTTCTTTTTTTATACGCCAAACCACTTCAGATATGCTTCTGTATTGATTTTCTTCAAGCTGGGATAGTAATGGTATGCATAACATGTATTTAATTTCCCTTGATAAATTCCAATGCATTATTCTGTTCTGGTTTTACATGTAGATCACGTGTAAAGCAGCTGTCAAACTTCTTGTTCTGCCCTAACTTAGAAACTATTTTTTCCCCTGTTACGAAAATATTCAGTTTTAGCCAATAATTACTGATGGTAATTTAATGTGCAATAATCGATTCACCTTCTTGTTGTTTTTTATTACTGTCCCCGATTGTGTATTTAATGCAATATACCCTTCCCTTATTCGCTTACGTCCAATTACACAGAATTGTGTTTATATAAATATGTCTGCATGCATACTGCTAACTTCCACCTACTCATCTTCTTTTAGTCAGATTACACATCTTTTCATAAATCTTTTTACGGAATTATGAATTCTAACAAATCATATTGGTCATCATGTTACACATGAACAGATGGACATTTGAGGTATATATAAATATACATGGAGTTGTCGAAGATTTTTGAAAGAATGTGCATATTTATGTGGGTAGTTAAGGTAATATGAAAAGCTTAATTCTAATGTTACCTGTTTTATTTCGATTTTGTGTAATTAGACTGATCTTACAGAAGTTATGCTTTCAAAACACAACTATTTGCAGACACACACCTATAAATAGTCACATCTGTATAATGTGATAAAAATAATACATAGGCTTTGTTAACGGACAACAACATTCCTATGACTTGGCAAAATGTATGTTTCTAATCTTCAGAAATGTTCTTATACGTGTTCGGTATGAAAATATTTGAAATAGATTAGAAAAACGTTTACATGTTCGGTAGGAATACATAAAGCATGAACATAAGGTTA